TAATGGTGACCACTTCCCAGGATGCCCAGGAAACCCAGTGTGAATCACGCTCCCCTTCCAGGTGGCCTGGTAGCCCAGATTCACAAGCAATTTATTGATAATCAAACTCTCTCTCTCTCTCTCTCTCTCTCTCTCTCTCTCTCTCTCTTGTACAACCCACATATTCCCCACTGTTTGTTCCATCAACCAGAGGTTTGGGGGTCACTGGGCCATGCTCCGCTAAACAACAATTTTAAATGGCTCTGGGAGGACTATGCCACGATACAAAATTCCAAATACATTCTTTTTTTTCCCCTTTGAAACATCCTTCACCATCCCTCGGCTGCAGAGGTGATAGGAGCACCTCTACAGTTGAGGATGGCATGTAGATGGCTCCATTCTATTCACGGGGGCAGCACATGCCGGAAAACGAGTCCAGCATCTCATGTATTGTAATAAACCTTTATCAGCCCTCAGCCGGGGAGGTGATATTAACACCTCTACAGTTCAGGGTGGTGTGCAGATGGCTCCGTTTTATTTGTGGGAGCATCACGTGCCAGAGAACGGACTCCAGCATCCCATGTATTGTGATAGAACATTGATTGATTAGCTGGGCGGCACTGATTGCTCTGGGGGAGACCAGAGGATCAACCGCCGGGCTGCAAATGACATGAGGTGATCAAACCTTTCTTTCTGGTGAGCTATGAGGTGCATGACATCCTCTTCATGGCCTCTTACTCAAACAGGTCTATTGTCTACGCATGTCGTGGTCAGCTGACAACCTCCTACACCAAATGAATTTTGAGTGCAAGCTGTGGGAGTGGCCTCATCATTCTGGTGTTAGAATGAAGGGCCAGCCAAGAGTGTGATGCCTGACTGTGGGGTTGTGGGACCTAATATATGAAAAAAATGACAAATGAATTTTGAGTGCAAGCTGTGGGAGTGGACAGTTTATGTGTGCATTTTGCAGAGTTTTTTTTCTTGCAACATAAACATGTCCACTCCCACAGCTTGCACTCAAAATTCATTTGTCATTTTTTTCATATATTAGGTCCCACAACCCACAGTCAGGCATCACACTCTTGGCTGGCCCCCAGGTTTGCCGGTGTCTCACTCGTTGGCTGCCACCCTGTGTATCGTAACATTCACATTTTGCAGCATGGTTCATGGGCCAGGGTCTCATCCGTAGAATATGTCGGGCAGGCAGGGATCCTAACACGTTCTAACAATTGGTTTTGGATGTAACAGGACCGATAACAGATCCAGGTACATTTGGAATATTGTCTCACTGTGGGGGGGCTGCCTTGACAACCTATGGGGCCAGGGATAGTCTAGGTGGCGAGGACAGGTCAGCTTTGGTAGACATTGGTTAGGAGGATATTGTTTCTGAGATGTAATGTCCTGGTGTAGGGAGGGCTGGGAGGGTTCTAGGATTAGGAGGCCAGAAGTGC